CGTCGCGGCTGCGGTCGCACACGGAGTCGTGGCAGGGCAAGAAGGACTCGAATGAGGACCGCTTCATCGAGATGGTTGGGTCGGCCGCCCTTGGCACCGCGTGAGCCATGAGCGATGAGTGATACACAGCGTAATGACTCCTTAAGGTTGGGATGGGCGCCCTTGGCACGGCCTTCGGTGTCTTCGACGGGCATGGCGGCACGTCCGCCGCAGAGTACGCGGGCAGGCATCAGGAGCCTTCCAGGAGCCTTCCAGGAACCTTCTAGGCACGTTCGCCGCAGAGTACGCGGGCAGGCATCTCCCCAAGAACATCGCGAACGTGTACGTGCAGCGAGGCGGCGGCAAGCGCGACCGCGGCGTCGACCCGCGGCGCCTCCTCGGTGGTGTCGAAGGGAGGAGGCAGGCATTACCGCAGGGGGGGGCTGCAGCAAGCCTTTTCCGGGAGCTTTCCTGCAGGTGCGATGAATGAGTTTATTCATTCGCCGTAATTATTGATTACGCGTCTCGAAGCTCTGTCCTGCAGGTGCGATGGAGGAGGCGTTCCCGCTGACGGACAAGGAGCTGCTGCAGCAGGCACTTCCTAGACACCTCCTAGACACTTCCTAGACACCCCCCAGACACTTCCTAGCTGACGGACAAGGAGCTGCTGCAGCAGGCACTTCCTAGACACTTCCTAGACACTTCCTAGACACTTCCTAGCTGACGGACAAGGAGCTGCTGCAGCAGGCACTTCCTAGACACCTCCTAGACGCCTCCTAGACACTTCCTAGACACCCCCTAGACACTTCCTAGACACCCCCCAGACACTTCCTAGCTGACGGACAAGGAGTCCATGCACCAGTCGAGTAGATTGCTGAGTGAGGAAGTGCCTAGGAAGTGTCTGGGAAGTGTCTGGGAAGTGTCCATGCACCAGTCGAGTAGATTGCTGAGTGAGGAGAGGCTGCTGCTACAGACAGAGAGCGAAAGGGCTTCCCAGGGCCAACACGACGAGCGGAGCTTACCGCTGGTTTGTCGCGCAGGCGCGGCGGAAGGGCTTCTCGGACGGCACCACCGCGCTGCTGCTGCTCGTCTCTGGCAGCGCGATCGAGGAGCTCTCTCTATATCTGTGCCACGTCGGCGACTGCCGCGCCGTGCGGTGCCGCGCGAGGTCTGGGACGCGTCTGGGACGTGTCTAGGAAGTGTCTAGGCGACTGCCGCGCCGTGCTGTGCCGCGGCGGCGCTGCGGTTCGTCTGACGCAGGACCACTTCCTAGACACTTCCTAGACACTTCGTAGACACTTCCTAGAAGGCGGCGCTGCGGTGAGGCTGACGCAGGACCACCGACCGGACAGGGGGGGGGAGGGAGAGTCGGCGAGATTGTGCGAGATTGTGCGAGATTGTGCGAGATTGCCCGCAGGACCACCGGCCGGACCGGAGGGACGAGCAGCGTCGCATCAAGGAGGCTGGCGGCGGCGTCTTCCAGGCGAGAGCTAGTGAGCTAGTTACGGCGAATCGAGGAGCTAGTTAGCCCTGAGGTGGGGGTGGTGGCGGGGGGGGGGGGGGGCTTCCAGTGAGCGTGGGGTACCCGCGGGCAATCTCGCGCGCTCTCTCATCTCTCGGCGAGATCTCCAGGTGAGTGGCATCTGGAGGTGCACCGATGTAAAGGGCGAGATTGTGCGAGATTGTGCGAGATTAGGTGAGTGGCATCTGGAGGTGCACCGATGCAAAGGGCGCCGCGCGCGCACTCGACGCGAAGGCAAAGCTGCACTGGCCACGTCTCGACCCTCTACCTCCCCCTCCCCACGAAAGCGCCACTCCCTGGCACAACAGGCAAGACACTTCCTAGACACTTCCTAGACACTTCCTAGACACTCCCTAGACACTTCCTAGACACTCCCTAGACACTCCCTAGACACTCCCTAGACACTTCCTGGCACAACAGGCGAGCTTCACGGACCACGACTCGACCCTCTAATTAATTAATTCATTAATTAACTAATTAATTAACAGGCGAGCTTCACGGACCACGACTCGACCCTCTACCTCTCGTGCTCTCGCACGCTCGGCTTGCGCTCGGGATGACCGAGCTCGCCCGAGATTGCCCGAGATGACCCGAGATTGCAAGAGAGTAGGCGACCCTGCGCTCAAGATGAACGACGATCGGCCGATCCTCTCCAACGTGCCGGACACGTCCCGCCACGCGCTGCAGCAGGACGACTTGCCTAGGAAGTGTCTAGGAAGTGTCTAGGAAGTGTCTAGGTCCCGCCACGCGCTGCAGCAGGACGATTTGATTAATTATCTGCTAATTGATAGTTAAAATTAATCGTTATTTCACCCGCCACGCGCTGCAGCAGGACGACTTGTTTGTCATCCTCGGGTTCTAACGATTAATAGCAGTTAATTAACTATTAATTAGGACGACTTGTTTGTCATCCTCGGGTGCGACGGCGTCTGGGACGTGCTCACCGACCAGCAGGTTCCTGGACACTTCCTAGACACCTCCTAGACACCTCCTAGACACTTTCTAGACACTTCCTAGACACTTCCTACACACTCCCTAGACACTTCCTAGACACTTCCCTGACGCTTCCTCGCCGACCAGCAGGCGGACGACTGGACACTTCCTAGACACTTCCCAGACCAGCAAGGCCGTCGGCCTCACTCATTCCCAACGGCTGGCTAGTTTGTCCCTCCGGCCCTCGCTGCCCGCAGGCGGTCGACCTTGTCCCGAGCATTGGCCATTAATTAACTACTAACTAACTATTAATTAGGCGGTCGATCTCGCCCTCGAGCATTGGCCGGACCCGTCTGCCGCCTCCGCCGCAATTGTGCGCAAGGCCCTCTCCTCCGGCTCGGGCGACAACCTGACTGCGCAGGCGGTCGGCTAGTGAGCAGTGGGTGATTGATTGGTTCATTCATGCATTACTACTTGCCCTCATTGCCTTAGGTGGTGAGCTTCGGCTCCGTTAATTAGCTGCTAGTTAGCTAGTAATTGACTATTAATTAGGTGGTGAGCTCCGGCGAGTTCCATTAATTAATCACCTATCATTTAGGTGGTGAGCTTCGGCGAGTGGAAGAGAGAGCGGGGCGCGGAGGTGGCCGCGCAGCGAGCGGCGGCGGCCGAGGTCGATGCGAGGATGGTGCGGGTGCCGTTGGTGACTGATGACTTAATTAACTATTAATTAACTATTAATTAGGTCGATGCGAGGATGGTGCGGGGGCCGTTGGTGGCCGATGACTTCAGACCAAGTCATGACTGTATCAGGCGGAGGCGCGGATGGTGCGGGAGCCGTCGACGCGGCCCAAGGTGGAGACGGACGAGGTGGGCGTGTCTAGGAACTGTGTAGGAAGTGTCTGGGACATGTCTAGGTGGAGGAGGACGAGGTTGACATGTTTGCTTGAGCAGTCGAGCCACTACAGTCGGGCCGCTACAGTCGGGCGGCGCCGCGATGCCGTCGAGACCGAGCAGGGGCGGGGGAGGGGCAGCGGGAGGCTTGCTGCACTCGTTTGTACTCGGCCGCGGCGGTCGCGCGGGCGTTTGGGGGGGGGGGGGGGGGGGGGCGGGGATACGACGGGGAGCTAGGAGAGGGGCGAGAGAAGATCCGCGCGCGGCACACGTCGGTCTGTGACACTCTGCGACTGACAGAGGGGGCCGGTACGGACAAACAGGTAAGGTAAGGGGTAATTCGGGACAAATCAGAGCTCTACTTTAAAATGTTTCTCCACGACAAAAAATAAACAGAGATGTGTCCACGCACGACAGTCCCCACGACAGGTGTCCCAGGTCCATGACGGTCGACGCGCATTACCGTTGTGTGTGCGTTGAGGCTTGAGAGCGTTTGTGCGGTGAGTACGTACTACAGCCTACACTCACAGCACCCCTCTCCTAGAGCCGGCTAAGCTCACCCGAGATACTATTACTAATCACACACCTACCAGTCTTGCCGCTAACAGCTAACACGCACATATCTCATCGCCATGATCTACCGCGTTCCGGGCCCCTTGCCCGACCCGCCCAACCGGCTGGCGCGGCGGCGCGGCGGGGCGCGATCGGGGAGCCCATTGCCCTCAAGGGGAGGGGAGCGCGCACGCTGGACGCCAGCCCGCCTCCCTCGGCCCGCGTGCCGCCGCCGGGCGAGCGGCAACACGGCCTCCGGGCAAGCGCAGTGGGCGCCCCCGCGAGCGCCTCGCCCGCCTCTGACGCGCTGGAGATGAACACTTCGATGTAGCGAGAGCCGAGGCTGCGCCGGTCGAGAGCACGCACCGCCCGTTCTGCTTCCCGCCCCGGGAGCTCGGCAAACGCCTCCCCGCTCTTGCGGCCTCGCTCGCGGGTGAGGGCGAGGCGCAAGACGCGGATTGGACCTACGAAGTGTCTCGGAAGTGTCTAGGGAGTGTCTGGGAAGGGCGAGGCGCAAGGCGCGGATTCGACCCCCCGGCGCCGACTCGAACCACCGCTCAACCTGATTGTGAGCCGACCAGGAAGTGTCTGGGAAGTGTCTGGGAAGCGTCTGGGAAGTGTCTGGGCTCAGCCTGATTGCGAAACCGACCAGCCGTCACTACAGTGATGAATGGCCAGCATCCATTCGGAACAGCGCTCCGCCTCGCGCTCAGTGGGGAAGTGTATCGGGAAGTGTC